CATGGTTGATGGGCTTCAGGCCAAAAAGTTTGGAGATTTTTACCCTAGTGGCCATGAGGACCATCAGCCCCAGGGAACTTGGGGACAAGGCTCACAAATGGAGACGTCCAAGGCCTGAGGTTGAACTCTGGGTTTAGTGTCAAGGCCCTTGCAGAAGGTCAGGGTGTGGGAGAGTGGGTAGGGGGCTCTAGCAAACCCAGCCTCCCACCCCCAGGAGTGGCCGGACCATAAGGACTGGAGCTTGCAGGACACAGACGCCTTCGTTCTGGTCTACGACATCTGCAGCCCAGACAGCTTTGACTACGTGAAGGCGCTGCGGCAGCGCATCGCGGAGACCAGGTGAGGATGCGGCAGGAGGTGAGGGGGGAGGGGAGCATTTACCAGTCTCTATGGGCCTTTGCCGCAGGGGAACGGTGGGCTCTTCCACCTTCATAGCCTGGCTTCAGGCCTGCCAGGCCAAGCCTTTGTCCATGTAAAGGTCTTTGGGCCACAAGGGTCTGGTGTTTGCCAGGGGTATCTTGCCACAAAAGATGCTCCTGAGTGTATATGCCCATTGGGGGAATTCTCCAGCCATAGGGCCCCCGGCACTGGGACCCTCATTCCTATCTGGCCCACAGGCCGGCGGGCGCACCCGAGGCACCCATTCTCGTGGTAGGCAACAAGCGGGACCGGCAGCGGCTGCGCTTCGGGCCTCGGCGCGCACTGGCCGCCTTGGTGCGCAGGGGCTGGCGCTGTGGCTACCTCGAGTGTTCTGCTAAGTATAATTGGCACGTGCTGCGTCTCTTCCGCGAGCTGCTGCGCTGTGCTCTGGTTCGCGCGCGTCCTGCGCACCCAGCCCTGCGCCTGCAGGGGGCGTTGCATCCAGCACGCTGCATCCTCATGTGACAGAATTGGACAAGGAAGCCGTTGGGATAACTGGGCAGTTTGACTGGAACCACCAGGGACCTGGATTGGACAAGCTTGCCCAGCTTCTCTCAGATTGGACAAGATAGTCTCCTCATTCGATGAGCAACATTCCTACTCAATTTCCTGGGCGACAGAACTCTCTTTGAATCTTGTTGGACCCAACCATGTCCTTAGCCCCATTGGACAAGGTCAGTCCTTCCTGGAACTTCAGAGTCATGACCCTATTGGGCGGAACAGACTTGACTATGAATCTAATTGGGATCTCTCAGACTGCTCCTGGAGCTTCATTGGACAAACTCTTTTTAAGTCACACCTCTCGGGAGGTAATAAAGGAGGAAAACAATTCCTGTGTACTGGCATTTCTGGGATGGGCAGGGTACTTTTCAAGACTGGTGATCAGAGGAGCCAGGCTTTGTTCCTGGCAGTTAACTCCAGAATCTCAGCATGTAATGAGGGCTCCCAAATGGGTGTCATAGCCCCAAGGCTGAAATCCCCAAGAAGCGGACACAAGTAGCTAGAACAAAACTTTACTGTCAGGCTCTGCAGGGCCACAGGACCTCAGGAGGGGTCCTCATGGGGCTGGCCCAGCCTCCTCTAAGGCATTCAATAATATTAGTAATTAAATAGCAATGCTCATCCCCCAATCGGAATGTACAACAGAGGTCCCATTGTGCCATGTGGTCCCAAGGGGTCTGGTCCCATGAGGTCTGGTACCCAAGAGGTGCAGGGGTGGGGGGTGTTCCCTGATGCAGAAGGGTTAAGGCCACAAAGGAAAGGAGGAATGGGGGCCTGGGGTTAGCTGGGCTGGTCCATCACATCCAGGAATCTGGCTCGGCCCTTGGACTGACTGAGTGCAGGGCATGCCAGGCCCCAGGCTCTATGGGTCCAGATGGGCGGCGGGGACCCCGAGGTGTGGGGATTCGTGAGGGTTTTCGGTCTGGCTGTGTGTCCATCCGGCCCCGTGCCCAGGTCCTCGGGGGCTCAGGGCCAGCCAGGGGGTTCCCAGATGCATCTGGCAGCACCCCCACACCAGGGCAGGGGCTGCCTTCATCAGAAGAGCTGGACAGGGCTAGACCTCGGTGCCCAGGCAGCCCATTGGCCATCCGGCCAGAATCCCCCGATTGGCCACACTTGCCGCCCAGGACACTGAGGGACGAAGAGGAAGAGCTGGAGGAACAGTAGGCTGAGTCAGGAGCTGAAGGGTCTGGGGCCCGAGCTGGGTCAGGGGCTGGTCCAGTGGGGGTTCCACCAGCAGCAGCCTCAAGGGCTCGGGCGTTGGCCAGGAACTCCTCTTCCAAGCGTCGAAACAGTTGCTGTTCATGTTGCGGGTCAAGCTCTAGAGGGGTGCGGAAGACGCTGGCTGGTGTGGTGCCCAACTCTGGACTGGGGCTGGAGACCCGAGGGGGCCGAGGGGCTGCAGGGCTGCGGGCTCGAGGAGTCTGGGGGCTGCCCCTGCCAGAGCCCCCACTGCCCCTGCCCCGTGGCACCCAGGAGTGCTGCCCATCTCGGTCCCTACGCACAAGCAGCACAGCCTGCTCCTCACGGCTCTGGCTCCGGGCCCGCCGGGCAGGGCTGGGGGCCGAGAGCTGGGATCCCTTGCCTCCTGGGGCCCCCCGGGGCCGACTCCGATCTAGCTGGTCTCGGGACTGGCTGCGAGGGGTAGGGGGCCGTCTTGGGGAGGCCGGGGTGCCTGTGGTCAGTCGTCGGCTGGGCCGCTCTCTCCAGGGACCAGTGCTTGAGTCGTCGCTGCGGGCCCCAAGGGGACCACTCTGGGCTGAGGAAGCTGAGGAGTCACTGTCCCCGGAATAGCGTCGGGAGCGGGGATGGGGGGGTAGCTGATCCCGGGCCCTGGGGCAGGGGAACAAGAGAGAGATGGGGCATCATGGAAAGAGGACTGGCGAGTAGAAAGGGCAGGGGGAAGAATGAAGACGCAGATTTGTGGTTGGCAGGGGGTGGGGAAGACACCTGTGGTGCTGTGGGAGGTATTGGTGGGGGCTGACAAGGGCTTCTGTCTGTCCTGGGGACTTCCAGGGAGAAGTGAGAGACTTTGCAGCCGCTTCCTACAGCCAAGGCCCCCACCCCCACCCTCACCCCAAGACAGAGGAAGAAGCAACGCCTCCAGGGCCCTAAGCTCCCCCTCCCCAACCCTCCTGTTTCCTGGGCAGGCCAGGAGAAAAGCAGGGTTAGATTGGCCACCACCCAGGCCCAGGGCCCGCCCCAGCTGTGTTGTTCATTTGGTTGGGTTGCCATGGAGAGGGGAAGCCAGGCCCGCCCCCACCCACGGGAACTTTTCCCAGGGTGTGAGTCACTCTGGAGCACAGCCTTTTGTCATCCAGTCCAAGGCAGACACTCCCACCCCCACCTCTAGAGCCCTTACCCCCATGTTCTCCTGCCCTCTCACCTGAGTGGGGTCTCCAGCCCCTCCTTTGAACTGCGTAGACTAATGGGTGTCACTTCGGGCCGGGAGCCCCTGCGCTCAGCCCCTGGGGCTGGGCTACCAGCTCGGGGGCTGGGGGTGGGTGACACCCTCTGGGGGGAGAAGGTACGGGTCCTTGGCTGGGGTGGGCGATGGGCTGCCAGGAGAGAAGACAGAGGTGGCATGTGAGAGGTGGAGCCACAGAGATGAGCCCCCTGCCCGCCCGCCTCTGCCGTGGGCACTGACCGGTGGAGGAGCAGCGGCAAGGGTCATGCTTATCCAGGTAGTGCTCCAGTGTGTCCCAGCCACCACCCACACGCACCATCACGTGGCTCCTCAGCACCTGTGGGAGCCCCACAAGGGTCGGTCACAGCCTGTCCCATGGGCCTGGCAGCCCACCCCCTGGGTTCCTGCCTGCTGGGCAGCCCCTCACTCTTACTCGCACAAAGATGAGCAGGCTCGAGTCTCCCACGCGGTACTTCCCCTCCGAGACCTTGATCATGGGAAATTGGTCTGGGCAGGTGCAGTGGCCCAGGATCTCCCTCACCTGAGGCCAGAGAGGAAAGGCTGGAAGTCAGGGATCCATCACTCCTCCTGGAGGTTAATGTCAGCAACTCCAGGGTCAGGAGGAAGTCCCTCCAAGGAATGGGGGCATGGAATGTGTTGCCCCAGACTTGGGTGCAACCTCTACACTTGACCTTTCACAAGCTCTGCTTCCCCTTTGGCTATCAGGGGTCAGAGAAACTGACCAGATGGTGGGGCTGTGGTCAGGCCAGGACCTGATACCCAGGTGAGGCGCATCTCCAAGGCCCCTGACCCTGGGGGAGCCCTCGAGCAGTCCTCACTCCCTTCACTCACTTCACAGACATGAAGGTTGAAGTCCACAGGGAGGCCAGGTTCTGGGAGGAGGCAGGTCACAGGACATGAGTGCAGGGGGGTCTACACCACAACGAGATGGGGTGCCACAGACACATGGGGCATAGTACATACCAACAAGCACCACACAAGTCACTCACCTGTCAAGTATACAACTGCCCACAAGTCCCTCTAGGCCCAGAGCTGCCAGGCTGGCCATGTGGGCAGCCCCGCCTGCCTCCCCACTCACAGCAAAGCCAGAGGAAATGAGCAGGTGGAGCCTTGGGTGACCCTGGCCAGGATGGGTGGGGTGGCAGCCTCTGCCCACACCATCCGGCTATTCCCCTCCAAGACGGGCACATTGTAGTCCTGACCCCTTGATAAGAAGGAAACTCTTGGCCTGGCTGCGGGAGTATCAGGGACACCTAGGTCCTGGGAGAAGGAGGAGGAAGCTGGGGGCAAGGTCCGGCACCTCCTATGCTCAGAGTAGAACTAATTCTGCAGCAGCTTTGGGCTTGGCTTCCCAGATAAGTGATATGTGCAGGGCCCCAGGGAGTGGGAGGGGCCTGCAGAGCCCCCTGGGAGCTTCCCTAGGCACTCACTGAGCCCCTACTGTGTCCCAGGCACCTTGCCCAGAGCCAAGCATCACAGGCACCCACTCAACCTTGAACTCCATGTTGTTGTAGATGCAAATATCTAGCACTCAAGTGAGGGAACAAAGAGGGGCTCAAATCATGTGGTCTCTGAACTAAGGAATACACAGCACTTATCTGGTGCCTGGTTAGCACATAAAGGAAGGAGGGCAGTGATGCAATGGAGCCCAGATTTTATCCCAGGCCAGCTGAGCCGTGTGACCTCACCCAGCACCTCTCCCTCTGTGGGCCTGCTCATCTCCTTGGAGCCGGGTATACACTTGGCACTCAACACTTGCACCCTTTCCACGGGGCAGATCGTCCTGCAGAGAGGTTCAGGGACCAGTTGTGGGCACTGGCTCTATTGTCTGGTCCCCGGTAGGGTAAGAGCATAGCAGGGCCTAAGGGACTCACCAGCTCATCGAGGTTGCGCAGGTCACTGGGCGTCATGCGGGGCCCACGGGTCGGAACCCCGGATGCAGTGGCAGTTTCTTCGGTGTCCTCCTCAGCAGCGGGGGCATTGGGGGCTGAGGGTGCCGCGCGCAGCTCCCGTTCAATCTCCTGTTCGAACTGGACGAGGCGTGGGGCGAGCAGGCCGAGACGGGCCCCGCGCCGCGCCACCTCCAGCAGGCAGAGCACCACACTTTTCTCGTTCTTCCGCAGCACCAAGTCCTCAGTCTCAAACATGAGCACTTCAGGCACACCCAACTCTGTGCGGCACCAGCCGATGAAGGTGGCCACGTTGTCGCGGGCCATGAAGGAGCCGGGCGCCACGCTGTGCATTTGGAAGGCCACACCGCGGGCCGGGCGGGTAGCAGCCAAAGCACGGGCGGCCTCAGTGACAGCATTGGCATGTTGGCACAGGGTGGTGCCTGTGGCCAGCCCTGTCAAGAAGCCATCGCCACCACCGGGCAAACCCAGGCCGTACAAGGCATTGAGCCACTCCGCCAGGTCCTCCTTCATGGCCTCCACGTAGGCCTCACTCGAGCGGAACGGCCGCACACTCTTGGCTGCTGAGCCCGCGATGCCCGCCACTGGGTCCGCCATGCCCGGGCCAGCCAAGTCACTGTGGGCAGGGATACAGGTCAGGATTGCTATGAGGACCCAGCAAGCACTCGGTACAGACTAAGCCACTGACCACCTGCACCTACCTGTCATTTCAGGCCAAATGCCTGGGTTTGAGCCCTGGCTGTGAGAAACTTCTCTGTACCTCAGTTTCCTGGTCGGCAGAATGGGCACAATATTATCTTCTTCCTCCGACCTAATGGGAATAATTTTATAAATTACTTAGTATCTGTGTTTGCTGTTTGGCTTTTGGGGGAAGGATTGGGGAACCTGGCTGGGTCCTCCCTCCCAGGTAGGGAGGGTCCCATACTTACTGCCCTATGTGATAGGGTTAGAGCTGAGCCTGAGAGAAAGCCCGCAGTTGCAGACTCATAG